GCTGGAGCATCGGAGAGGGACCACGCTCACCAGGATGCCACAGAGGCCCCAGATGCCCAGCGGGGCAAGAAGGTGGGAGGTGGAGAGGGAAAGAGGAAAAAAATGATCTAGGTCCTACCCTGCACATCCGAGGCAGGTGACCTCTCGCCTTGAGCACTCTTCCCCCTTTTCAAGCTCAGAGCTCAGCAGACCAGAGTCATAAGAACCTCCTGTCCTCCGTCAGCACTGAGAGTCACTTGGGACTTAGATAAGATATTAAGAGACGAAGCCTTGTGCTTAAGCAAGGGGACACTCCTGGGGCAAATTCGGTTTCCCAGTTGACACACTTCCTGGGGGTCATTTGAGGTTTCCTTTTGTTTATTGCATTTTCTTACTTGTGACCAAACAATGTAAATTTGAGGTCAAAAATTAGGTGGAAGGATAAATATACACGTATTTTATCATGTTAACAAATTCTTATATGTGACTATATAATTATAAATACATAATAGAAATAAATATATAGCATATATAATTGCATATAATTTTCTTTTTTTTTTTTTATTTATTTTTGGGACAGAGAGAGACAGAGCATGAACGGGCGAGGGGCAGAGAGAGAGGGAGACACAGAATCGGAAACAGGCTCCAGGCTCTGAGCCATCAGCCCAGGGCCCGACGCGGGGCTCGAAATCCCGGACCGCGAGATCATGACCTGGCTGAAGTCGGACGCTTAATCGACTGCGCCACCCAGGCGCCCCGCATATAATTTTCTTTATCTATATTTCTTTTCACCCAGAAATGACTAACATTGGTGTGTGTAGACAACGGAAGGAGGAGGAGGAAGAGGAGAGGAGGGAAGGGAGGGAGTGAAGGAAGGAAGATGAGAAGGTCTGGCAAATTGTGTTTAAAGAGTCTTTATTGGGGCGCCTGGGTGGCGCAGTCAGTTAAGCGTCCGACTTCAGCCAGGTCACGATCTCGCGGTCCGGGAGTTCGAGCCCCGCGTCGGGCCCTGGGCTGATGGCTCGGAGCCTGGAGCCTGTTTCCGATTCTGTGTCTCCCCCTCTCTCTGCCCCTCCCCCGTTCATGCTCTGTCTCTCTCTGTCCCAAAAATAAATAAACGTTGAAAAAAAAAATTAAAAAAAAAAAAGAGTCTTTATTTTTGCACTTTGCTGGGGGCAGAGATCTTATAAACTTTTTTTTAAGTTTACTTATTTATTTTGAGAGAGAGAGAGAGTACAAGCAGGGGAGAGGCAGAGAGAGAGAGAGAGAGAGAGGGAGGGAGGGAGAGAATCCCAAGCAAGCTCTGCACTGTCAGCACAGAGCCCGACGCGGGGCTTGAACGCAGACTGTGAGATCACGACCTGAGCCAAAATCAAGAGTCGGACTCTTAACTGACTGAGCCACCCAGGCCCTCCCGGCAGAGGTCTTATAAATATGATTTGAGGATCATCTGCATCAGAGTTACTTGGGGGATTTTCTAAACATGCAGACTCCAGGACTTCACCCCACTGAATTGTCATCACGGGGATGGGGTCTGGCGCTATTCTTTGGACTGGTCCTGCAGAGTTGAAAACGTTCCTGCAGTAAGCAACCCACAGAAGTCATCCAAGAAATAGGGGACTGCAGGGGACCGCTTTCTGTGGAGAAGAACATTATGTTTATGCCAAGGCCTAGCCTGGACACTGCAATGTTGAAAAAAGAGCTGCACCATTCTGCCCAGCAAAGGTCGAGCGTGCCCGCCTTGGCTTGCTAAGGTGTTCATTGATTGGGGGCTTCCTCTATGGACACCGGGGGCAGAGGGAGTTGGAGGTCCCTGGGTTTAGGGGGAAGGAGAAATGAATGGAGACTGAGATCTGCGAGGAAGGAGCTGGCTGAGCCCCAGGGGGGTAAGCCAAGGAGAAAGCCGGACCAGAAGGCCCTCCAGGTGATCCCATGTGGTTCAGGGACGGAATTGAGATTAAAGTTTTTCTTCTTTCACTGTCCACCCAATGGCATTTTCCCATTTTCAGGAAAGCCTGGGACCTTAAACAGCTGGTCTTGGCGCTTTGGAGACATAAATGAGAGGGTAAGGTGGCACCAAATAAGTAAGCAGCGATGCGCTGACCAGAAGCTTTGGATAGGAGACAGAAGGTGCAGTTCAGGGAAAGACAAGGACGAACCATCACGAGCAGAAGGTGCAAGCGCTCCAAGAGACCCTCAGAAGTTAACAGGACCGGGGCGCCTCGGTGGCTCAGTCAGTGAAGCGTCCTACTCTTGATTTCAGCTCAGGGCACGATCTCATAGTTCGTGAGTTCAAGCCCTGCATTGGGCTGTGCACTGAGAGTGCAGAGCCTGCTTGGGATTCTCTTTCTCCCTCTCTCTCTTTACCCCTCCCCCACTTGCACTCTTTCTTTCTCTCTCTGAAAATAAATAAACATTAAAAAAAAAGAAAGAAGAAGAAATTAACGGGAGTGAGCGAGAGTTCCTGTTACCCTAGACAGAGGGTGAATTTTATTTCATGAAAGTGAGACCCAAAATAACCTTCCATGCTGTTCCGCCATCTTGGCTCCTCCCCCCAAAAGAGGGTGAATTTTAAAGGAAATGTCTGGAAAATGTAGTGACTTTTTGTATACACTCACACGCAAACACACACACACACACACACACACACACACACAATCTCTTTTTCCCTGTCTCCAAATTGACACTAGGAAACCAGAAGTAAAAAATAAAGTTGGCCAGAAGAGACTCATTCTTGCCCTGGGCTGGGACCAGGTCTCACTGAGAAAAGCTGGGCCATGAGAAGGCTTAGGGCCCAGAAGCCCATCGTCATGCTTTCTGGGACTGAGGACTTCACCCAGTTGGGAAAATGTTATCACGCCGCATGCTGTCCTCTGCTTTTATAGCCGTCTAATTGCCGGCAGGTTTCAGCCTGACTCACTGAGGAATTTGATCTGCAATATACTGAGAGACAGTCACATTCATCTCTGGATGAACAGAGACATATTCCAGGAAGTAGGATTTCCTAAGAAGTCCTTGAAAGAGGAGGGTGTGCACCTTGGTTTCAAGTCATTCCTTTCCCAACATTCCCCTCCCGACACCACAAACTTCCCACAGTTCCTTCTCGGGCCCGCGCTCTCTCTCTCTCTAGGAACTTTTATCTTTGTTGTTATTTACCTTTTCCTGATTGTAAAATTTAGCTGATGCTAAATCGAAAGTTTAAGAAACTATTTAAAAAGTTGCTCACTGTCTCTACTAAAATTTAGTAAAGATTATACGGTATATATCATTTTGATTCCTGGGGCACCTGGGTGGCTCAGCCGATTAGGTGACAAACTCCAGGTCAGGTCATGATCTCGCAGTGCGTGGGTTCCAGCCCGCGTTGGGCTCTGTGCTGACAGCTCAGAGCCTGGAGCCTGCTTTGGATTCTGTGCCTCCCAATCTCTCTGTCCCTCCCCTGCTCAGGTGCGCTCTCTCTCTACCTCTCTCTCTCTCTCTCTCAAAAATAAACATTAATTTTGATTCCTTCTCTTTTCACATTTCTTCCTAGGTTTATTCCTGGATAGCTAAGAACGTTGGTACTATTGTAAATGGGAATTTTTTCCTCTGGCATTATTTAGGAATGGCTAAAACTTCTGGAATAATGGTAAATAATTGTGGCGGTAACTTGAATCTGTCTTTCTCCTGATTTTAATGGGAGTGCCTTTACTGTGTCACTTTTAAGTATGATGTCGACTCTCGTTTATACCAGTCAGATGTTGGGTGTTGAGACAGAGTTCTTACCATGAAAAAGAAAGCATATTGTTTTAATTTATTTTTTTTTTAATTTTCTGACCATTTTAGGTTTTCTTTTTCTTTTCTTTTTAACTTACATCCAAATTAGTTAGCATATAGTGCAATAATGATTTCAGGAGTAGATTCTTTAGTGCCCCTTACCCATTTAGCCCATTCCCCCTCCCACAACCCCTCCAGTAACCCTCAGTTTGTTCTCCATATTTATGAGTCTCCTCTGTTTTGCCCCCCGCCCTGTTTTTGTATTATTTTTGTTTCCCTTCCCTTATGTTTATCTGTTTTGTCTCTTAAAGTCCTCGTATGAGTGAAGTCATATGATTTTTGTCTTTCTCTGACTGACCACTTTCACTTAGCATAATACCCTCCAGTTCCATCCACACAGTTGCAAATGGCCAGATTTCATTCTTTTTGATTGCCGAGTAATACTCCATTGAATATATATACCACATCTTCTTTATCCATTCATCCATCGATGGACATTTGGGCTCTTTCCATACTTTGGCTATTGTTGATAGTGCTGCTATAAACATGGGGCTGCATGTGTCCCTTGGAAACAGCACACCCGCATCCCTTGGATAAATGGCTAGTAGTGCAATTGCTGGGTTGTAGGGTAGTTCTATTTTTAGTTTTTTGAGGAACCTCCATACTGCTTTCCAGAGTGGCTGCACCAGCTTGCATTCCCAAGAAAGCATATTTTTTAAAATCAAAGTTCACTATTCGAAAATAAATCAGAAATGGACATTGAAATTTATCAAAGTTTTCAACAGTATCTTTCAAGAAGACAGTGATGTGAATTTTATGAGTAGATTTTTCATATAAAACCTTCCTTATATTTCTGATGTAACATCACTCGATACTTCATTTACTACTGGGCTTATTTACTGGAATTTTTGTTTAAAATTTTTGTTTTAATAGACATAAGTAAAAGGCATCTATACTTTTTTTTTTTTTTAAACTTTGTTTCTGTAAGCCTTATAAACTGAATTGTGACACATATCCATAGTGGCCGGTCCCTTGTCCTAGAATAAGCTCTTTATCATGAGAATTATCTATTCCTTGAAAGTCTTTTTTTAAAAGAGTTTTCTCTTGTAATCACAGCCCAGCATTTTTGTGAAGGCAATCAACTTTTCCTTCATGTTATTGGATTGTTTAGATTATTATCCATTTCTTAAAAGAAATAAAAAAATTATTATCCATTTCTTGATTCAAGTTTGGTAATTTACATTTTACTGGAGAATCATACTTTTTGGAAGGATTTTCAAATGTGTTGCTGAGTTGCACACAGAATTTAAAAATTTTTGTATCTGTAATTTTCTCCACTACTCAGTACAAATGGAGAAATTTAAAATGGCAGGACCTGGGGCGCCTGGGTGGCGCAGTCGGTTAAGCATCCGACTTCAGCCAGGTCACGATCTCGCGGTCCGTGAGTTCGAGCCCCGCGTCGGGCTCTGGGCTGATGGCTCAGAGCCTGGAGCCTGTTTCCGATTCTGTGTCTCCCTCTCTCTCTGCCCCTCCCCCATTCATGCTCTGTCTCTCTCTGTCCCAAAAATAAATAAACGAAAAAAAAAAAAAATGGCAGGACCTAAGGTCCAGTGGACCTGGGTTCAAATCTCCATTTTCCCTATGAGGAGCTTCCTTAGATAAGTTGTTGGTTCCTGACAGGGAGAAAATGAAAAATAGAGATAATAGAACTTTGTACCTCACAAGGAAACAGGGAGGTGAAGGAGGGCAGGTAAGGTGCTTAGCATAATAGCTAGAACATGGAAATATTCAGTGAATGTGGGCTGTTTTTTTATGTATCTAATACTGGATGTTTGTGTTTTTTTTCACATTTTTTCTTTATTATATTAGCAAAACATTATTTTATTGTTTTTTAAAAATCTAAGACTGTTGGGGCACCTGGGTGGCTCAGTCAGTTGAGCGCCAACTTTGGCTCAGGTCATGATCTCACACTCCGTGAGTTCGAGCCCTGCGTCAGGCTCTGTGCTGATAGCTCAGAGCCTGGAACCTGCTTCAGATCCTGTGTCTCCCTCTCTACCCCTTTCCCACTCGTGCTCTGTCTTTCTCTCTCTCTCTCAAAAATAAAAAATAATAATAATAATAAATAAAAATCTAAGACTGTTTACTTCTACTTTGCAATGAAAACATTTTTTTTCTGTTATTTTCATAGGGCTGAGTCTTTTTGTTGATTATAGTTGTGTTATTAAATTAGAGAGTGCTCTGGGGGCGCCTGGGTGGCGCAGTCGGTTGAGCGTCTGACTTCAACCAGGTCACGATCTCGCGGTCCGGGAGTTCGAGCCCCGCGTCAGGCTCTGGGCTGATGGCTGATGGCTCAGAGCCTGGAGCCTGTTTCTGATTCTGTGTCTCCCTCTCTCTCTCTGCCCCTCCCCCGTTCATGCTCTGTCTCTGTCCCAAAAATAGATAAACGTTGAAAAAAATAAAATAAAATAAAATAAAATAAAATAAAATAAAATAAAATTAAATTAAATTAAATTAAATTAAATTAAATTAAATTAGAGAGTGCTCTGAATAATTTGTGCTTTGGGGAATTTATTGACATTTTCTTTGTTGAACAATATAGAATCATTTTCAAAGTGACCTATAAGTACTAGAAAAGTGTTATGTTTGTAGAAAAAGGGAGTACAATATTAATCTATTAAATTGACTTTATTGATTATATCATTCAGACTTTCTATCCCAATGCTATTCAATAGAAATATACTGTAGAAAACATATGGGATTTAAAATTTTCTAGCAGCCGTGTTCAAAAGTAAAAAGAAATAGGTGAAATTAATTTTAATTAGCATATTTATGTAGCTCCCTATATCCAAAATATTATCATTTCAACATGTAGTCAATATAAAGTATCTTAATGAAATATTTTATATTTTTCTCAACTCAGTCTTCAAGTCAATGTACCTTTTATATTTACAGCACATCTCAATTCAGATGCTAAGCTGTCATCAGGAACACTTGATCTATATTTAGATTCCATAAAATTTACAGTTGAAAAAGTAGATTCACATATTTGTGTTGTTCTCAACATCTTTAAAAATTTGCCAATAGTGAATCAAGTATCATTTTTAAAAGTTACATTAAAATTAAGTAAAATTAAATCCAATTAAAAATTCAGTTTCCCAGTTCCACTAGCCACATTTCAAATACTCAGCAGCCACACACAGTTACATCTCTGCGATACTGGGCAATGCAGTTTTATATCTTCATTCATTTCTACCTGCTAGACCTGTCCAATAAAAATGTATTAAAATGTCCAACTACTTTTAAGGAATTCTTGTTAATTTTTTTTTTTTACATGTGATAATGGTATTTGGGTATTTTTTTTTTATTTTATTGAGATATAACTAACATAACATTATATTAGCTTCAGGTATACAACATAATGATTTGCTAATGTATGTATTGTGAAACTATGATCACTATAAATCTGTTAACATTTGTCACCATGTGAGTATTTTTAAAATGGCGTTTTAATGTTTATTTTCGAGACAGAGAGAGACAGAGCACGAGCGGGGGAGGGGTAGAGAGCCAGAGAGAGACACAGAATCCGAAGCAGGCTCCAGGCTCTGAGCTGTCAGCACAGAGCCCGATGTGGGGCTCAAACTCACGAGCCATGAGATCATGACGTGAGCTGAAGTCGGACGCTCAACCAACCGAGCCACGCAGGCACTCTTTCCATGTGACTGTTTTTTAAAGCATTCCTATCTTTTACAAAGACATGTGGAAATATTTATGAATAAAATGATGGGATCTTTGAGCCTGGTTTTCAAAGCAATATAGAGAAAGCAGAAGGTTTTGGTGTAAGTGGAAAACTACTGGCCCTGAGTTGATAACTGTCGAAACTTAGGTGCACAGGTACATGGGGAGTCGTTATGCTTTTCTGTTTACTTTTTTATATGTTTGAAATTTTTCATAATAAAAAGATAAAATTCTTTTAAAATTTGGATGACACCATTTCCACTTATCAATTCCTTCTATCAAAATTTCCAGTATGTTGTTTTATGTATTTCAATCCTATTATTTTGTTATTCTTATAACTGAAAAATTGAATTTATATGACTAGTTATATATAAACAGTATGCAACTTTATTTCTTTTCTCTCTGTTCTTCTTCTTTTTTTTTTTTTTTAATGTTTATTTTTGAGAACAGAGGGAGACAGAGCATGAGCAGGGGAGGGGCAGAGAGAGAGAGGAAGGCACAGAATACGAAACAGGCCCCAGGCTCTGAGCTGTCAGCACAGAGCCGGATGCGGGGCTCAAACCCACGAACCGTGAGATCATGACCTGAGCCGAAGTTAGAAGCTTAACCGACTGAGCCGCCCAGGCGCCCCTTCTCTCTGGTCTATTAAAGTTTTTCAATGGGAAGTTCTTTGCTTCCTCATAAAAATTCAGAATTTTTCTAGTCACTCTCAGGTGAAAAAAAAAAAAAAGCCTTAGGGTCACTTTAAGTCACAAATTTAGTGTGGTGGTTAAAGATGGCTACAAATTCTCTGCCATTCTTCCTGTGGACTGGTGGAGTCTATTCGTCCCCCCTTAATTGGGACTGCCCTTGCTTTGACCAATGGAATGTGGCAAACGTGATGCTGTGTAACTTCTGAAGCTAAGCTTCAAGAGTCTCGCAGCCTCTTTCTCACTCTTGGTACACTCCCTTTTTTAATCCAGTCGCCATGCCCTGTGAAGCCTAAACTGCATGGAGCGGCCACATGAAAGAGAACCAAGGCGCCTGGTCGACAGCTCCAGCTGAGCTCCCAGCCGGCAGCTATGTGAAGGAGCCATCTTGGACATCATTCAACTGGCTGTCAGAGTGGAGTGGAGTTGTTTCTCAAATGCAGCCTTTTTCTCTGCTGCCACCGCCACTTTTTCTGAGACACAAGTCAGGTAGCACCTGATCAAGTCCCCAGTTGCAGAGTGCTCCCGTCTCACTCTCTGAGGGGCTCGTTGACGCTTCCTCACTAGACCTGAGTAAGAGAGGCAGCATGCCCATGTTGGATTGATGTTGAGACAGAAACAGGTGGAAGTGGCGGGGAGCAGGAGCCAACGGTCACAGCCAACATTCCGTAGCATCAGCCTGGTCTGTCACCAACTAAGCCTGCTTCTGCCCAAACTTCCTGCTCTGTTTTGTTTGTGTGTTTTTAAAGAAAAGATGTCTTCCTTCCACCACACCTAGATTCTTAGTATCTTCCTTTTATCTTGGGGAGCAAAAGTGAGGGTGTTAGGAAGATCAAGGGAGGAACAAGCTTCCCTCTTTCCAGACAGAACGGCGGAGGCCACGGGTAAGATCATGGCAAGGGGCGCAAATGGTTCTCTGAGTAAAGCTTCCCTATTGGCTACTCGGGACTAAAACTTCAGAGGGAAGAAAAGTGAGGCTTTCTCCCCCCCACCAGTAAATCTCAAGGTTCTCACCTGGTTCTGAAGTGGCGTGTGGTGAGAATATGTTGCTCTTTTTCCCTCGGCCCTGGATGTTTGGGCAGTGACTTGTTGGCTTTGATTTGGGTTGTGTCCCACACATACTTCACTGGGTGGTGGGGAGCCAAACCCAGGGCACCTGTGAGGACGAGGGAGTTTGGCCTTGGGAGGTTGATACAGAAAGTGGTACATATTCAGCACATGTTTATCGCATTGGATAAGACTTGAGTCCCAGACCCTTTATTCCTTATTTCTAGACTGTCCTACCTCCTCTCTCTAAGCTTCTTCATTCCACAATGGCTTGATACTTCAACTCCAATATAACTATAACCTGTCCTATAATCTGGAGATCAGTGAGTCACAAGGCAGCATGGTTCATCAGATGGGACACTAGGCTCTGTATTCAAACCTATCATCCTGAACCACCAGCTAAGTTCTCTGAATCTGCTTCACTAAATGTCCATAAATAACTCCTGTCTCTTAAGGCTCCAGTGACAGTCAATGAGGTGATGCATAGGAAAACACCTATCTAGGGGTCTCAAGCGCTGTTAGTTGTGGAAGGTGGCCTTTCCAACTCCATCTATGGTGTTAGTGGGGGCCCTCAACTGCCCTGGAACCTCCATGGCAGTCACAATCTGGGCCTCCCAGTTATCTGATGGGTCAGTCTGGGAGAAGAAATGGACCATGCTCAGCTTTGGAACGCACAGGGTCCCATTCAGTTTGGTCAGCTGTGGTAGCAATCTCAGGGCTCTCTTTGCCGCACTGGGGAGGCCTGCAGTATTCTGCCTGTGACTGGCTAAGCAATTGGTTTAATTCAATAGTGGAATGTTAAGAAGCTTTCTCCCACCCCTGAAGAGATAAAAGCCTCCCTAGTAATAAAAGGGATATTTTCACCTCCATTAGTTAGTCTTCTATGTCTTCTTTTTCGATTCCAAATTTTTCAATTGATTCCAAATTCTGTGCGGAAATAAAAAAATGTTATTTTATTATTTACTGACTCCCTAAGACTTCAGTCAAACCTTCTTTAGAATGTAAAACTACAACCTCAATATCACCAGCAGATCCCAGATCCCCTCTGGAGCTTATGTAATTAAATTGAGCCAAATGCAAAGGCGTAATTTTACTAGCTGACAGGTGTAATTTATACTCTATTCACAGGCCGTACATTAGCCAGTACCTGAGGATGATTTTTTCTGCTAATATGACACACCAGTGACATTAGGCTGAAACTAAAAATTAAATAATGCACCCTGGCGGACCTGTAGATCTGCTCCGACCACTCTAGGCAAGAGGAGATTTATTCTCTCAAGGAATTAAGCCAAAGAAGTGATGATCAGAAGGACAGGTGGTAGGAAATGTGATGCAGGAGAAAACATTAGACTTAAGTAAAATGCTGTGCTTTGAACAGTTGGTTCTGTATCAGTTATCTAGTGCTGTGTAACAAACAACATCAAAACTTAGCGCCTTATAAATGACCACCGTTTTATTTGCTCACACTATAGCCCAGTAATTTGGGATGGGCTTTCTTGGGCTGTGAGGATAAAGTAAACTTCCATACATGCAGGGACACAAAAATTTCATTTCCTGGGGCGCCTGGGTGGCGCAGTCGGTTAAGCGTCCGACTTCAGCCAGGTCACGATCTCGCGGTCCGGGAGTTCGAGCCCCGCGTCGGGCTCTGGGCTGATGGCTCAGAGCCTGGAGCCTGTTTCCGATTCTGTGTCTCCCTCTCTCTCTGCCCCTCCCCCGTTCATGCTCTGTCTCTCTCTGTCCCAAAAATAAATAAACGTTGAAAAAAAAAATTAAAAAAAAAATTTCATTTCCTTTGTACCCTTTCTCGGGTAATTCACGCAAACTAGAGAGTAAAATAATAAAATATGAACTTGAGAAAACAGGGTTTCCATCCAAGGAGCATGGCAAACTACAGATGACAGACAACTATTCAAAAAGCAGAAAAAACACTCTTCTATACTGGATCAAGAGGATAAGGGTTAAAAAAAAAAAATGAAAAAAAAAAAAAGATAAAGAAACCAAAAGGTTGTCACACGCCTTGAAGCAATTGGGAAAAAAATATTTATAAGTATATGACATCACTGATGAAAGAAATTAAAGGAAGAAAATAATGTTCTGCATCATCATAATACTGTAAATCATATTAATCGTAATAATGTGAATATTGACTGATTTTGACAATAGGTGGTGGTGGGGGGAGTGTTAGATAAACCTCATTTACTAAAGAACAGGTGAATAGATACATAAAGAAAACCCATTACAATCATCTGATGGTTATGGACCAAAATACCAGAAGAAAGCGTCCAAGGAGTGGGAAAGGTTGTTTCTGGAAAACCAGATGGGAGGAGTATGGGGAGGGCTGGAGCCAATGACAAGGGCAACTTGTGAACTCTCTACACCTATTGGATATTTAACCTTAGACAAAAATAACGTCAAAACCTTTTTAAAACGATGTTTGTCTCTACACCCTAGGTTGGGACTAGGAAGGGAGCCTCTGCATAGAAAACAGCAAACGGTTTCCGAAATGCTAAGTGCTCTTTGCATCCTGTCTCCTGGCTGCAGACTCTTAGTGTAGTCTTCCCCAAGTGGCTCAGGTCCATTTGGAAGTGAGTCACATGACACCTGTCCACCTCATCCTGATAATGAATCCAAGGCCCGTTCTGGCCTCTGTGTCTTGGGTCGATAGCAGCTTTTGTGGCTTGGCATTTCACTGTGGAAATACTCAGAAGAAAATGCACACAAGCATCAGAAGTGGATCTGGTACAGCTATCATGTTACGTCCCTTATAGTTGGAGGCATGACTGTGTATACCAAACACAGTAACCAACCGTGGGCTAAATATTTACATACGTTACCTAGTTTTAATCATCTTAAGAAGCCATGCGTTACTGTCCCCATAGTCCAAGTGAGGACACTGACATTGAGGAATGTTAACAGTTTAGCTAGTAAATGATGTAGACAGGAGTGGGACCCAGCTCCCCAAGCAATCCCAACCCTGAATTTATTGTCACTCTCTAGCACCAACTCAGCTCTCTGCCCGTGCTCCAGCTGTCCTAGAGAGATGCTACCAATTTATAGTCCTTCTGCACACATTTCTTAATTTAAATCGACTTTTTCTGAACACCGTGACTGGCATGGGGTGGTGGGCATGGCCAGCTTTGCGAGCATGCAGTCACGTGGCACCCCACACTGAGAAGGGAAATACTCTGCCATCAGGGTCCTGAGAATCTTAATCTTCATTTTGTAAGTGAAGTCCTATGGGGCAATGGAGCGCGGGAGTGAGCGGGATGGGCAGGACACGTGTCCACAGTCCCCCGCACCCCACTCACACAGAGTATTGACCGTGCCCCAGGAAGACAGAATTCTGGTAGATCCACAACAAGCCTAAGGGCAGCAAGGCTCAATGTCAACTATAGGTGCGTGATATCTGCAACCGAGTACCCGGGGGTACTGACAGCCTCAGGAGGACCTGCTTCCCATTCAAACCAGAACTTTCTTCGAACACAGCAAAAGAAAGGACTGAGGAACCCTATCTCCACCTTTTTTACTCGTGTTACTTGCCTGTGTTAGCCGCCCACTTAGGCTGGAGTGATGAGATAGAAGGAAAGGTCAGCCCCTCATACCTCCCTTCTTTTCACTGCCTCCTTACTCATCAGTAAGGTACGGTATTGGCAGAATGTGCATCTGTCAAGAAGAGACAGGAAAAATGAGTTTTATGCATCATTCTTGCTGTTGTGGCAAGACAAACAATACATGTGTGCGCTACAAAATAGGAGTTGTGTAATTTCAGCAGTCCCACGTGTGAGCTAGAAGCTCTTATGTTTACATTTAAAACTGACATTGCATAACGTAAGGATGAACCATAAAATTGATGCTAATAATTTAGAGTTATTTAAACTCTAACTTAGCATGGCACTACACGAAACAGAACAAACTGAGGGTTGATGGGGTGGGGGGCAGGGGAGAGGCGAAAACGGGTGATGGGCATTGAGGAGGGCACTTGTTGGGATGAGCACTGGGTGTTGCATGTAAGTGATGAATCATGGGAATCTACCCCCAAGACCAAGAGCACGCTGTATACAATGTATGTTAGCCAACTTGACAATAAATTACATCAAAAAAAAGGGGGGGGAAGGAAATTCTGACATACGCTACAACATGGATGAACTTGAGGGCATTATGCTAAGTGAAATAAAGCAATTGCAAAAAGAAAAAAAAATAGCACTACACAGCAACATTTTAAAAAGCCCTAAGTCAAGAGAGAGACCACTGAAGGAAAGCTTTATATTTAGTACCTTATAATGGCACTTTCCCTCTGCTTCCTGAACAAGGGACCCTACAAATTACCTGGTGATGGGGAGGTGGGTAGTGATGTTAACTGAGGAAAGAGACCCCACATTTTCAGGAACTAGATCCAGGAAGCCTCTGTTTCTCTGTAATTGAAAACAGCGCACTCCTTTGGGGTTTGATTGTCTCCTTTATTGCTCTCTTCCCACAACCAGTAAAAAAAAAAAAAAAAATACAAATCAAGGCTGGTACAAGGATCCAATTAAAAAAAAAAAAATCGGTGTGCAAAGAGGGCCACAGCCCTGCCCAGGTTTAACTTACATATTTACAGGGGGTGTGGCATGTGCGCAGCTACAGAAACACGTTGAAAAGACGGCGGTACAAAATATACAAAGGTGCTCTTTCTTTATATTTCATAGTAGAACCCGGCCTCATTTCCCAATGAGAGCACTATAAAACACAAATCACACTACTACCTATATAACTTATGAAAAATGCTGTGCACCCGTGCGACTATAAATATAGAGTATAAATGGTTCTGTCTCGGAACCAGTATCTACATGGGTAAGGGTCAGGGGAGGGCTCAGTCTGGTATCCCAACCTGCTAAGAGAAGGATAAGCCAAGATGGGGGCGAACCGGGTCTTGGAGTGTGGCTGCACTGAATCCCCTTCCCCAGACTCCGTTGAAGCTCTCTCCCTCTCCGGGGTGGCCTGGGATTGTTCAGGGTGAGAAGCAGCGGAGGGAGGAGGTGTAAACACAAGAGGCCGCTCTGGAAGGCACAGAGAAGGTATCTGCGGCAAGAGAGAGGACACCCCTTGGACCCACAGCCACGCACGGACCTCTACTTCTACTTGATGACCACGGTTCTGTGGGAAATCCAGCCACGCCCTGGTTTCTGCCCTCTGAGAAAAGTGGGGATCTCCACAGGCAGGGAGAGAGGGCAGAAAAGTCAAAGCTCACCTATCTATGGCAACGTGAGAGAAGTTTTGGAAAGCGTTTCTGGCTTGGATGGATGAATGGACTCAGGGACGCAGAGGGGCTGCCTTATCTTCCTCCAAAAGACTCATCAGGGATGATTTTATCGGACCAAGAGAGCGGCGCTAGGCTTTGGCCGCAACTGTCAATTTGGCTTCCAAAGTAGCCAAATCAAGAAGAGCCCTAGGTCCTTTTAGCAGACAAACCGTCTCCCCACCCCAGCCCCTCCAGGTCTCGCCATTCCCTGGCTCATCCTCCAACTGCTCGGCTCAGGAACAGAACACTCTCTTCTCAGAAAGGTGGAGCCAACAGGTGGGCCAAAGTGCACCCCGAACCTCTCTCTCGGTAGCTCAGATGCGGCTCCCGCCCTGAAAACTCGGACAAGGACACAGCAGGGAAGCTCAGATTGGCCAGAACTGCCCGGGTGAGGTCCCCCTAACAAGGAGTTTGGGGAGCTCCGCGAAGGGGAAAGACCCACCCCTGTGGTCTTCAAGTCTCCAAACAATGACACTATTTCCCCCTCCAAATGGGTCCGGTCTGGGCCAAGGACTCCCGGGGGCGGCTGATCTTGGTTGAAGCAAGTCTTCGGTAAAAGAGAGAGCTGTCTGAGCTTTACCGCAATAACATACACTTAACATAGGCATCTTTGAGAACCTTCCGTCAATCCCTTCCCTCGAGGCTCTTCCTTTGGAAGAAGATGGTTTGAGTCTGAAAGTAGGTCGTGTGGACCCACCCTGCTGTTGCAGGGGGTGGGCGAGTGTGACCGTCTCCAGCCATTGTCTTTCATCGTCTTTTGGGGTTGCTCTGCCAGTTCCCGCGATCGGGAGCCCAGTTTGGGGGGAGGCGGGTGCGGTGGGGAGGGGGGAGGGGGGCGGGCTGAGATGAAGCCACTGTGCGGGCTGATACACCGGGACAAAGGGGGTCAGGGTGGGGGCTGATGTCAACTCCACTTCTCAGCAGGGAAGGCGTCCCGGCCGGGCAGAGAAGGGCCCGCGGAGCCAGGGGGGAGGTGGCCCCCCTTCCCACCTCCGGGAAGCCCCTACAAGGCTGTGCTGCTGGAGGTGACCTCTGTGTCCGGGCCATCCACCTGAGACCTGGGGGCCCCGTCCTGGGCCTCTGTGCTCATGGCCATGTTATCAAAGGCCTTGGGGGCCTTGATGGGCGTATCCTGCTCCTCCTCCAGGATCCGGCAGCACCCGCTGCAGCGGCAGCAGGCCGGGCAACCGCACAGCAGGCAGCAGGCGCGGCAGCAGACCCGGCAGCAGAAGCAGCAGCGCGTCTGGCAACAGCCAGTGAGCAGGAAGATCAGTTCGTCCCAGGGCTTCAGCGAGTGCATCCACAGCGGCAGGAAGTCCCAGCTCTGGAGCTTTCTGGGCAGGATGCGCGGGTAGCGGGACTGCAGGAACCTGAGGACCACCACCAGGAGGATCACGAGGATGATGGGCGCCCCCACGCCCACCAGCACCGGCCAGCCCGCCAGCGAGAGGCCAAACACGGCCAGCGGGGTCAGGAAGAAGAAGAAGATCAGGTAGAAGATGGCAAACCAGCGGTACTTGGCGGAGATGTTGCCCAGCCCCTTGGCCAGGCGGATGGGCAGGCGGGTGAATGGGATTGGGTACCACAGCAGGATGCCCGAGATGTTGAAGAAAAAGTGGCACAGGGCGATCTGAAACACAAGAGGTTGGACAGGTGCATGGGTGTTGTGCGCGGTGGAGTTGGGGGCAGGGGGGGGGAGGGAAGGGTCATCTAGCAGCCATCCTGAGTCAGGGGTCTTCCCTGTCCTCACAAGGCTATTCAGAAAGGGGCCAGCATTACCTGAGGACCGTGTGTGTGTGTGTGTGTGTGTGTGTGTGTGTGTGTGTCGGGGGAGCGCAAGGGAGGTGACCAAATGAATCAGTTTTCAGGACCTAAACTCCTGAAGGCCAAATCTAATAATGAACTTCATTAATATGCCTGCCGCTACCCAAGGTCTTGACCCTGCTGTTTCCAGCTGGCAGTTAAGAGCTGGTGCGGCCAAAGGAGAGGCTTTGCTGGAGAGCTGGCTTCCTTGGCTCAATGGCCCCATTCTATGGAGGGGAGAGAGATGATTACAGTTAATAAAAATAATAGCACCAGCAGCTGATTTTAGTGCCTCCTAAATGTAGGAGGCAACCATTCTAAGCACTTGATGTGGATTACCACAATCCTCAAAAAAATAGCCTATGACATGGTAAATCATCATTATCTCTATTTGATGGCGGAGGCGATTGAGGAAGAGCTTTGACTCTTCCCAAAGTCACACAGGTAGGAGATGGTAGAGGTGGGATTCAAACCCAAGTAGCCTGGCTCCAGAGGCCACACACACTTGGCCACTTTCCTGTGTGCCCAGGCATCACGCTAGGGGCTTTGGATCTGCCTGTCCAATACGTTAGCCACCAGCCACGTGTGGCAAATGAGCACTTGAGATGTGGCTCGCCCACGTTGAGATGTGCTGTAAGTGTAAAATACAGAGTTGATTTCAAAATCTTAACCAAAAAATATAAAACATTACCAATTTTTAAATCAAATTACATGTGAAATGATAAGGAGTTAAATATATTATTGAAATTGATGTCCCCGTTTTACTTTTTAAAAATGCGGCTCTATTGAGGAGGGCACCTTTTCGGATCAGCACTGGGTGTTGTATGGAAACCAATTTGACAATAAATTTCATATATTGAAAAAAAAAATGTGGCTCCTAAAAATTTCAAATTACGTGGGCAGCTCAAATTTATATTCTACACTCAGATTTCTGTTGGACAGCCTGGCTTTAGACAGAGCCTCATCAGATCCTTAGAATAATCCTAGTGAGATCTGGTTCACAGTTTTCAGATGAGGGAATTGATGTTCAAAGTTCAGGTCACCTGTCTAAGGTCATTTAGCGTGTAAAGGCAGGACAAGAATTCAAATGCCAAAGGTCTTCTTGCCCAAGATCACTTAGTCGATCTGGGC